GAAGGTTCCGGGTTTGTGTCCAGGCACCTCCCTGAGTATGCTGGCTGCCCTGACCCAGGCTCGCTGAGGCTGTGGATTGATCGAGGCTTGGGGACCCTGTTGAGAGTGCCTGTCACTTTCTCACAGATGGAAGAAATACACTTAAAAAAAAAAAAAGTGTTAAGCAAATGAGGTGAATGTCAGAGGTCAGGCAGGGGCCACAGAGAGCACGGGGTGCTGCGGATCCATTGTAGAGATGAGGAAACACCCCAGAGAGGCACGTGAACTCAGCCACTGTCACGTGGCTGGGAGTAGTGAGGTCAGGCAGGTGGAAGCCTGGAAGCCACCTTCAGCCCTCACACCCAGCCCTGCCCCCCACGGGGAAGCCACACCTGCTCATTTGCCTAGATCAACTACAACAACAAGAAGGTTTGGAGGACTCGAAAATGAAAAGCACACCCCTCCCTTCTGTCCCTCCTCCCTGCCCAACCCCACCCAGTCCTCGGGCAGCATTCACTGGGGGGATGCATGAACTTCTTGCCTATGAGATCCTGGGGGCTTCTTGGTGACAGCCAGATGCCATGCTCAGCATCAAGGGGCCCTGGGAGCCGTCCATAGCCGTGCCAGTTGCTGCTCAGACCAGGGCAGTCGGCACGATGGCGGGAGGACACAGAGGCACAGGGAGCAAGGCAAGGGGAAGAACTCGACAGATGAGGCTTGTGCTGAGCATCAGCAGAGGAATCCACCAGGCAGGGGGGAAAGGGAAGGCCAGTCCCGGGAGAAGGGATAGCACATGCAGAGCTCCAGGAGATAAAGCAGGAGGGGTGGCCTGCCCTGGGTGTGAGGGGCCTTGCTAGCCATGCTATGGGGGCGGCCCTTCTCCAGAGACAATGGCAGCTCTGCAGGGTTTGCAGCCAAAACGCGACCTGTGCTTAGTTGCCGTCTGTCTTCACCAGGGCAGCAGGAGACAGGCTGGAGGCCAGAGGCAGGTTTCGCTCATTGATGCCAAACTCTAAAGCCCAAAGTCTAACACCCAAATAGACAGACCATTCACTCAGGAAGGACCGAGAATCTGTCCTGAGCCGTTAAAATCACCCATGTTTTCCCATTCAGGGACCCACCCAGGCTCCTCTTGGGTGTGCCTTGCTGCAGCCATGTCTGACTTATGCACAAGTCATGTAAGCGATACGTCAACTCCGGAACCTAGCTGCTAGCCTAGAGACAAGCAAGAAAACACACAAATGCAAGACAACGTTGGGGCCAGCCGCACAGCGCAGCAGGTAAGTGCTGTGCAGAGGAACCCAGACCCCACATGGTCGGCCGCAGCGTGACTCCAGGCCGTGGCCTTCACTTGCTGGCTGTGCATGAGCCTGGCCCAGGGTCCTGATGAGATAGCAAACTGGGGGGAAAGGACGGCAGTATGACCAGGCCCCATGGTGTTTGGGGGTGAGGGAGATGGGGGATGGGAAGTGGGGAGGGAGCGTTTTCTCTCTCTTCATTTCTTGCACACACATGCACTCTGGCATTAAAACCAAACAGGGCCAGCTAGTGGCATGGGGGTTAAGGAAGCTGGATCCCACATAGGTGACTTCGTGGTTTGAGTTCCAGACCCAGCAGCTTCTAAAACACCAGGCACATGGGTATGTGTGCCCCAAGTTCCGAGAGGAGAATGGAGAAGGAGGGATTGCAGCATGGCCATTCCCCCACTGTATACTCTCTCTCTCTCTCTCATGAATGCACATGCCTTATAGCAAATGTTAAAAACAAATACACAAGCATAAAACCCATGAGCCAGAACTGGCTGAAGCTGGGGGGTGAATCATGGCAATAGGACTCTGTTGAGGGTGCTGGCTCTCCCTCTGGCTCTTGGAAGAAATAAGCTTTTTTTTAACATGTGGAGAAAGGGGCCAGCAGGTGGCATTGTAGTTAAGGCAGCTGGACTCCTATGTGGCTGATTGTGGTTTGAGTCCTGGACCTGGCAGCTTGCTTTCTCACTTTTCCTCTCTCTCTGCCTCTCTCTGGTCAACTTAAAATAAATAAATAAATAAATAGTAAATAAAATAATGACAATGAATAAAATTAAATAAAATAAATCTCTTTAAAACTGTGGAAAAATTGGTACCTCCAAATAGATGAAACATCCCAGTATGTTGTGTATATTTGCTGAGGAAGTCTATCGTCTTCCTTGGGCAGAAGTCCTGTTCTCTCACCTGTGCCAGAGACTCTAAAATCAAACTGAACAGCTCTCCCTTGCCCTGCTGGGGATCACTCTGTCTCACCCCGGAGAAGATTCCTTCCTTATTCAGGTTTTCAATCTGTCAATTGAGGCAAAAATGTTCTGTTTACAAGGGTCCCCTAGAGCTGGCCAGCTCAGCCCCTTGGAGTTTTCGTTCGTGTGTTTGATTTTAAGAGTATTTGTTTATTTCTTCTGAGAGAGAAAGAGAATGAGAATGAATGACAGAAACCCTCAACAGAGTCTCCACACCACAATGCACCCGGCCTCAGCCAGCCTGGATCACGGGCATGCAACGCACGTGCAGCATGCACAGGGAGGTCCCAGGACTCATACCTAGGACCTTTCCCATGTGAGTCCAGTTGTGTTCCTGCTGCCCTCCCACCTGGCCCCTACAGCGAGCCTCTCTGGACAAAGGCCAAGTCAGCACAGCTCAAGTGCTTAGCTGGACCTAAGCTGGGGCTCCCAAACTATAGGCCACTCGGGCAAAAATGCTCCTGGCAGGGCCACCAGGTGGCACGGTGGTTGAGGCACTGGACCCTCACATGGCTGACTGCAGTTGGAGTCCTGGACCTGGCAGCTTGGTTTCTCACTTTACCTCTCTCTCTGTCTCTCTCTCTGGTGAGCGCATGTGCCCGATCGCAAATTAAAACAAAACAAAATAAAAACAATCCCGGCTCTCCTCTTCTCCCACTTCTTAGCCAGCAGGCTCCCCGGTCAGTACTTGTCCTGGATGACAAAACAGCCTCTTTGACAGCCTCCACACCTTGCCTTCTCATCACGTGCCACCAGCAACCCCAAACACACTTGTCACTCAGTACCATCGGTTAGCTGCCACCCGAGTATTCCTGAAGAAATAAAGGGCAGTGCAGGGGAGGGAGGAGAGGAGAGCAGGGAATCAGAGGCGGCTACTTCTACTCCAGCAGGGGAGGGGAGAGATCAAATTACCCCCACCTACACTGGAGGTAAAGGGAGGAGGGTTCTTAAAATTCACTAAAGGGGTTAGACCTATGGCCTGGTGGTTAAGGGAGCCAGATCTCACAGGGTCTACAGCATGGTTCGAATCCCAGCCCTGGTGGCTTGAGAAACATGCCAGGTGCATATGCATGTGTGCTGAGGTACCCCAGGATGGAGAAATGGGGAAGGGATTGCTGTGTGACCACACCCCATTGGGGAAAGGATCTCCCTTCTGTCTCTGTAAGCACAAGCACACTTTGGCAAATATTTTTAAAATGAACAAAACCAGTAACATCCAACACATGAAGACTTCGAGCTTTCCTGCTCTCCCTTCAGTCCGCACTTGTTATGCTTCTGAAAACAAGGGAGAGTGCCCTGAGGCCGGCAGGGAGAGCTTGACCCTCCCAAACTGTCTGTCTTCCATAGCACCCTAGGTAAAGACCCATCACTAAGGCCACGCTGTGGAAAGAAGCCCATTCTCTGCTTTTCACATCACACTCGTCTCATTTAATTCTCCACCCGGCTCTGTGGGTCAGTGTTAGATAAGGAGACTGAGGCTGGGGGAGGCAGGAAGATGCTGAAGGTCACACAGCTGGGCCCAGCTGGAATTCAGGTCTCTTTCACATCACAGATGGTGTCCAAGTATCACATTTTTTAAAAGATAGATTTTATGACCCATCCCCTGGTAAACTGTGCATAGGACTGGGGCCTGGGGACTCTGTGGTTCAGAAAACACTGCAAGAGGGGCTGGCAAGTGACATAGTGGTTAAGGGCGTTGGACTCCAACATGGCTGACCATGGTTCGAGTCCCAGACCTGGTGGCTTGTTTTCTCACTTTCTCTCTCCCTTTCTCACTCTGTCCCTCTCTGGTCAAATTAAAAAAATAAGAAAATAAATAAATAAATTAAATAAAGTAATTCTTTAAGGAAAAAAAAAAAAGAAGAAAAGAAAACACTGTGAAAGCCCAGAGTGCAGTCAGGTTGGGGACCAGGGCCTTACCAGGGGTCCTGAAAGCAGGAGGAAGGACGGTGTGGCTGGGAAGACGCTGTACAGCCTATGGAAGCTGATCCAGAAGGGCCCTTCCAGGCAGACAGGGCTTACTTTGCGCTCCCTTTTTGCCTAAGCCCACCCGCCTCCTCGCGTGGCTGGTTAACTCACTTTACACCACATCCTGCTGCCTTCATCTCGCCTTCCTTTTCCCTCTGAACAATCTCCTTCCTCCTACTGACCTGAACTGCTTTCATATGTACCCCAGGCCTGGGACGGGCCAGCACGCAAGCTACCAGCGCACCCACATTTACTCCCCCCCACACACACGCACAAACACACACAGTCGGGTCCTCCGTCAGCACAAGTTGTGCAATTCTCTAGAACCGCAGCCACCGTCTGGGGAGCCAAGCTCGCTAGCACCGAGGCAGGCTGAGGCTCCTAGGACGGTGGTTTGGGCGAGCGCTTCGGGGACTCCCAGGTCCTGAAGGCCAAGGACCCCTGGTGCCAACGCTCACAAAGCAAGCTCCCAGTTGGAGTGGGGTAGGCTCCTTGGCCCCAACGTGCGACGCAGGCGGGAAGCGGAGGACACCATCCCTCAGTGACTACTGGGTAAGGATAGGTGGTCCCCGGATGCCCCTTCTGTCTCGGGATCCATCTGGAACATGGGTTTGTGGATCTAGTGTCCCGTGGCGGACTCTATCCACAGGGCTGGGAGACAGCAGGACCTGTCCAGCCTGTCCGCTGCAGCGCCAGCTCCCCGACGGTTCCCAAGCCTGTTCCGATTCTGCCTAGAGCTGCCAGGCGTGCCCTCCACGCCCGCCCCTCCCGCCCAGTCACGCACCTGCAGTCCCCGCCGGGCGCCGAGCCCCTCTCCAGCGGAGACTCGCTGCAAGTGGGGTGATGCCCGGGATCACCGCGCCGCGGGTGGAGCTGTGCAGCGGGTCGCGGCATCTGCCCAAGCTCTGCAACTCAGACAGGCGTGGTGATGAACCTGGGCGGGCAGAGGCGGGGCGGAGCCTCAAGGGGCGGGGCCTTGTCAGGGGCGGGGCTAGCCACCCAGCAGGCCTCTCCCGCCACCTGGCGGCCGGTTTGTGTCAACCAGGTGCCGACCTCGCCCAGGCCACCTGGTCGTTCTCCTCGCCACGCCCGCAAAGTGCCTGCAAGTCCTCACCCCCAGCTCCCAGCCCGCGTGCCTTGGAACTACCAGACCTAGTCGGTGCACTGCCATGACCAGAAGGACTCCAGGGGCAAGCACCAGCCACCCTCCCAAAAAAAGGTGAGGTTCTCCAGGGCGGCGGAAGCGCTGGCTCTGGCCCTGCTGGAGGGGTGGGCGGAGCAGGGAGGGAGGCTGGGGTGGGGGCTTCGGGGAAGAAGGAGAAAGAGGAAGCCCCGTTGAGCTGCTTCCTTCTCTCACTGAGAACCAGAGCCCCACTTCCTCCTACTACTTCTATTTTCTTTGGGTGCTCGTAACCCTTAAAATGCCTGTACCCCTGCTGTGCAGACGGGCTCCTGGGCTCCCCCTTTCAGCATCACTCCTCTAGCCTGGGTCGGATTGCCTACTTTCCCTGGAATGGTGGAGGAGGGGTCCTGTCTCCAAGGTCACATCCCTCTTCTTGTCTCCCCGTTTCTCTCCCACAGAAGACACTGCACATGTCATTATACCAAAACTTGGAAGGACTCCTCAGGGAATCCCAGAAGGCACTGCTCTTTCCCCTGCCTCAGTCTCCTCACATACGAAGTAGCCCTGGCGGTGAACAAACAGTACATTTTAGGATTAACGAAGGACGAGGCTGAGCTCTCCACTTCCACTATTGGGTGGGACTCTGTGTCACAATGTCTGTTCGAGGCGTCCAACTCAGCCACAGGGTCATATGTTGGTCAAAAGCCGCAGCCCTACCTGGGGCATCGAGAGATGTGGACACCAATGACTGTTCTCTTCTCGGCTGCCCAAATACCAAGAAAAAGCTACTTCCCCAAACAGATAGAAACAGAAAGTACCCTTGGCAGCACACTGGTTCCAGCCTTTAGATGGGGACAGAAAAGAGCTCAGCACCGTCAAGTGCTGCTGCTACCCCTCAACCTGCACCTCTACCCAGAGAAGGAACCACAGCCATAGGAGTGCCATGGAGGGCACCCTAGGTCACACAGCTTGATGAGGACTCTAGTCTTCTGTCTCCCCCCTTCCTACATTTTCCACTGAAAGAAAGGCTGGCATCTGGAGGGAGAGAGAGGACAAAGTGGAGCTAGCCCAGAGGTGGCCCAGGCACAGAGGAAGAGGTAGCGCTGGCCCGGAATCAGGAACTGAGTACCAAGAATGACATAGTGCATGCCAGACTGGGACATAAGATGATGAAAGCACTTTGAAGGGTGAAGAGACTCCTGGAGGAGTGGGAGGTACACGACGGCTTCAGTATCCCATGGAAGATGGGGAAATGCTGGAACAGAATTGCTCCATGGAACTCACTTCTAGGGGGCTGAACACCCAGGAGACAAACTGGGTCGCACCCTGCATCTCCTCAATGGTGTGCCTTCTTCTTCACCAGCAGCTATGGCCCAGAGGTTGAACTTGCATGTCCTTCCCCCTCCAAACTGGAACTCCACTTGTGTCCCCCTGTCTCTAGAAGCCAGACCACCAACCAGAGCTGATCAGACCTGACACCATGGGCCAGAACGTAGGACGACAGCCACAGGTACATGCATCGGTCCTCCTCCTCCCTCGCTGCCCCACAGCCGTTGGTACATCTACAAGACGGAAAATGCCAGATGTTGACACTTTGACAAGGTGACAAGGATAGGAAGCAACTGGAATATCCTTCCCCCCCCCCTTTTTTTTTTGGAGAGTTGTTTTTTGTTTTTTGGGGTTTTTTTCTGCTATAAGGCGCTTGCACTCACCAGAGACAGATAGAAAGCAAGAAATCACCCCCCGGGAGGATGGCTACATCACAATCCTTTCTCCTCCATTTTCCTCTTGAGATCTTGGGCACACACACACACACACACCCACACGCCTGCACACACACACACACACACGCCTGGCGTGAGTTTAAGCCACCAGGTCCGGGACTTGAACCGCAGTCGACTACATGGGAGTCCAGCGACATAGCCATTACGCCAACTGCTGGTCCCCATCCCTTTTATTTTTTTAAGAGAGATTTTTGCTATACATGCACTTGCCAGAGAAACAGAGACAGACAGACAGAAAGCGAGAAATCTCTACTGGGAGGATGGCCACACTGCAATCCCTTCTCCTGGGCATGCACACATACGTGCCTGGCTTGAGTTTTAAGCCACCAGGTCGGGACTCAAACTGTAGTAGACTACCTGGGTGTCCAGCAACGTAACCATTACGCCATCTGTTGGTCCCACAACTGAAACATTCCTATATTGCTTGTAGGGATATGAAATAACACAACTTTGAAAAAAAATGGAGTGACAATGTCAAATAAAGTTACATATACATCTACCTATGACCTAGAAATTTCACTCTGAGGTGTGTATCCAAGATAAATGGATCTATGTGTCCAGACAGAAACACGTATTGGGTTGTCAAGAAAGTCATGACACATAACACATTTTTATGTAGAAAAACATAGAAAAAATACATCATGACTTTACTGACAACCTAATATACGATCAATTATAGAAGCTTTATCTATAATAGCCCTACTGTGGTTGGAATATGTCCCCAGAAATTCATGGATATTGTAAAAATATTAAGTGAAAACGGAATTCTCTCATGGTGTTCCAGGGTGAGGTTTAGCGGGCAACAATTGGTTCATGGTGATTGCATTATGTGGGCAAGCCTCATGAATAGATTAATGATGTCTCATGATATACAATGAGTTGAACTCTTCTGAGAAGGGCTTAGTTCTCACCAGAGCTGGTGGTACAAGAGAGATCCCTCTCTCTGCCTGTGCCCACTATAATTTGTGCCTCTGTTGGCAATGCAGTAGTCCCAGGAGTTTGGACTTTGCAGCCATCAGAATTGTTAGTCTGTAAAGAAACTCCTGTCTTATTTTTTATTAAATTTTTAAAATTTTTTAATATACATGCAATCATATTATTTAGCTTACAAAGTGAACATTTCAATATGTGAGCATTTCTTCCCAGTCCAGTTGATCAAAATATCTTTAACCGATAACACCACACCTCCCCATCCCGTCAATGCTCTGCCTCTGTATCCCTCCTCCAAATGTCCTTCCTTAGGTCCCGCATCTCCACACACACCACATCTGGCACTAACCCCCATCTCTTGTGTTTGTAAAACTTAGGTCAATCAGTTTCCATCATAGAGTGCAGACACTCAGTATATATTAAGTGGGGACATACAATGTCTCTCCCTCATAGACTGGCTTGCTTCACTCAGCAGTAAATCTTCCATATTCTTCCACTTTCTGTCAAAAGCCAGGGTTGTTTTTTTGTTTGTTTGTTTTTGTTTGTTTGTTTTTATGGCTGAATAGTATTCCATAGAGTATATGTGCCACAGTTTTTCAATCCATTCATCCATACGGGGGCATTTGGATCCTGTCTTCTTTATACAATTCATTCAGGTTTGGGCCAGCCACATATTGTGGTGTTAAGGCCTTGGATCCTACATGGGCAACTGCTCAGTTCAAATCCCATACCTGTGGCTCGAAAAACATGCCAAGTGCATGCACATGTGTACTAAGAATCTTAAGAGGAAAATAGAGAAGGAACTGTGGCATGGTCATCCCCCAGGGAGGCACTTTCTCACTTTCCTAAAAAACTCTTTCCTTGGCGAGTGCTTTATAGCAAAAAACAAACAACAACAAAACAACAAAAAACAAAAAACTCTGAGACTCGGTTATTTCTGTCAGCCATGTAATAACAGACTAAGACAAGACCCACATTTGAAACAAGCCAATTATCAGTAATAGAATGTGTGAATAAAAGAGTCATACAACGGAATGCCACTCAGCAGTGAAAGGATTAATTACTGACATATCCAATGTGGATGAATCCCACACACATGATGTTGAGTAAGAGGCCAGACACGCACTTTACTTAACCCTTCATTACAGGGGCAGCCCCAGAATATACAACTTTTAAGTGAATACTTCAGCATACTCTTCATATGTATACACTGTTAAACCACTGTCAGATCAACTCCGGAAACAAATCTGTCACCCCAGAGAGTTCCCATGTGCCCCTTTCTCAGTGAAATTTCTCGGTTAGATAACCAATATGCTGACTCCTAGCATTACAGTTTAGTTTTCTGGTTCCTGTCCTTCGTTTGAGAGTTCCTCAAAAAGTTCATGGAAAGTGTGTTTTAATATTATGAAAAAAATATATATGATCTTTTTTTTTTTCTGAGAGGTTTTTTTTTTTTTTTTTTTTTTTTTGCTATAGGGTGCATGCGCTCGCCAGAAAGACAGAGAGAGACAGAGAGACAGAAAGCTAGAAATCACCCCCAGGAGGGATGGCCACACCGCAATCCCTTCTCCTCCATTCTTCTCTCAGGATCTTGGGCACACACGCACATGTGCCAGGCGTGAGTTTAAGCCACCAGGTCCGGGACTTGAACCGTGGTCGACTACATGGGAGTCCAGCGACATAGCCATTACGCTAACTGCTGGTCCCTATATATGGTCTTTCAAAATTTTTTGCACCAAAGTAAACTCAAGCTTTCCATTTTTCATGCACTTTTTGAAATCCCTACACTAAAGTAGAATCATACAGTAGAAGCCAGATCTCCGAGGGGCCAATGAAAGTCCGAGTTCCAGCAGTGGTGGCTTATAAAACATGCTGAGTACATATGTTTATGTGCCCCAATCTTGATGGGATGGATAAATGGAGGAAAAACAAGATTAAGGGGTGACTACACCCCATGGGGGGAGGGCTATCTCTCTCTCTCTGTCTGTCTCTCTTTCTCTCTGGCAAGTATATGCACTTCTGGCAATTAAAGAAAAAAAAAGGCTTTAGGGGCCAGCAGATGGCATGGTGGTTAAGAGCACTGGACTCCCACATG